TGGTTCGCAGTTATATATTGAATACTCTCGAATAAATCAAGAGTGTTGTTATTTTCTGTGTTTTTATTTGTTTCCATTTCTACTGTTTGTTGGTCCTGTTCGGATTGTTATTTCTGTTTGGATTGTTGTTGTTTATTACTTGCTGTTTGTTGTTGATGATCAGAATATTGTTGTTGTTGTTGTTTTTGTAGTAGACATTATTCGTCTGTCTTTGTCTGTTCTTTCATTTTTTTTGTTTTTTGTTGAAGGCATTCTAGATGGTATGCTTCATTGTCATAGAAGAAGCAACTTTCTAGAAGTTGGTAGTGATTGTTAATAGCTTTGCAACTGATTGCAGTCCAGCATTTAGGGCATATGTGGGTATATGCTTTAGGGGCAGGAGAAGTTGAGATAGTTGTTGATGTTGATACAATAGCTTGGTTTATTTGTTTGATATTTCTTTGCTTATTTTTCTTACCAACGACAGGAGCTAAGAATGTAGAAGTATGAATAACACTGGTTGCAGAGTTGAATAGTATATGAAAGTTGCTACAAAGGCATTTGACTGTTGCAGTTGTATGTAGTGCTTTGAAGAAGTAAGTTTTTTTGACTTGTCTGGTGTTTACTGTGACACAACTTGATAGTTCAAACTGAGGAGAGATTGTTCTAACCGTGCTTAATTCATCTTCATAAATAGCGACTCCAAAAGTATTTGCATAGTTTACATAGAAGGCATCAAGATCGAGTACATCTGGATCTTGAGTAATTGAAGTAGACATGTTGGTGGATATTTTTGCTTAAAGATGCTGATGTGATTATCTTAGTAAAATTCTCAAAAAATAGCACTTAGAAAGTTTAAAATAGTGTATTTAATAGATTTAACAAAAGTAGATATTACTGGAGTCTTTAGTGTAACTATTGTGACTAGTGTAACTTGTGTAACCTTGTGTAACCCAAATTGGTCTAGGGTAGTATGAGAGTGTGGCAGTGTGGCTAGTGTGGTTGGTGTAATAAAGGTTACACATAACACCAAACTATATATAGAATATAAAGTAGTATAAAAATATAAAAATAACAACTAATAAAAATAGATTTGTATTATTAATTAAATTACTATTTTAGATAATTTGATTGATATAATAGAAAATTTAATTAATTCTAAGTTTGAATATGATCTACCTATATCGGCGAATTGAAAAAATTGGGCCTAATTTTATATTACTAAATTTTTGTTTGTAGAGTAAGTGACTGAGTTTAATAATATATTTGTTATTATATCCGAAAATAGCTTTTTATTGTAAATTATACTGTTTAATTTTTAACATTGTCAATTTTAACAATATCAACTTTAAATCTATCTCAAAGCGATTTAGAATGTAAATTATGTAAAAAGATCTATAAACAACCTTCAAGCTTAGCTAAGCATGAACAATTAATTCAAAATGCCAATATTATGAGATCAACTGTGTATAATTTGCCTGAAGAGGCCATTGAAGAAACACATAAAATGTTAGTTTATCATATAAAAGAAAGACTAAAACAACATTCAAAATATGCTGGAAATATTCGTATTATGGTTAATTGTACAGAGAGCCAGTTTTTTAGTGTCTTTAAAGAATATATACATAATTATTATTCAAAAACAGGGGGTTATAAGTGTATATTTAAGGGCGTTGATTCTTATTTTATTTTATCTCAAATATTAAGAGATGATAATTGGGGTACTAAATACTTTTTACAACATCAAAAAACATTTGTTTTATTATACCAATTGTCATCAAGTTTAAATGAATCCGATCCTCTTCAAGAGTCCAATTCTATTCAAGAATCTAATTCTCAGCAAGAATCAAATTCATTTCAAGAATCTAATCCTCTTTAAGAATCTGATTTTTTTCAAGAACCTGATCCTCTTCAAGAATCTGATTCTTTCAAGAACCTGATCCTCTTCAAGAATCTAATACTTTTTCGCAAATTAATCTTATTCGAAATTCTAATTTTTTTCAAGATAATAGCAGTTATATTAAAGTTAAACTTTAATTTTTTTTAAGCATTTTTTTCTAACTTTTTAAATATTTAACTATTTTAAGAATCTAATTCATTTCAAAAGTCACATGAATCTAATTTATTTCAAGAATCTAATTCGCTTCAAGAGTTAAATTCTTTTAATGAATCTAATTCATTTAAAAATCAAATATCAGCATCAGAAAAAAAACTTTCTAAACCAAAACCTATTCAATTTATTATTGGATGGAAAAAAAAATAAAATCTGATGTATGTAATATTACTTATTCATCAGGATTTATTTTTATAAATTTTATTATTACACGCACAAAGATTACAGAACATTTTTAATTGTTATTATTTATAATAAAGTAATGTTTTAGCATATTTATATGTATATAATTTATTATAATAATTAATAAATCTATTAATATTATTTGCTTAAATTTAATATCTAAGTTTATTTAAATGCACAATCGTTTTGGTACTAAAATTAAGCCAATTTCATTGCAATTAAAATATAAAGTTCTATTTTCATATTCAAGAATATTTATAATTGCTGATTTATTTCCATTTCTTCCATCTTTTGTTGTTTTTTTAAAAAAAAAGAGACTTGTTGATGATTTTTCTTTTCTACAGCTGAACAAGAAAATGCTGCTAAGCCAAATTTATGATGAATATGCATTAATTCTAGAACATGATACACTAATACATGTATATATGGTGTTTTATCGCTGGTTTGATAAAAATCTGATTCTAAAAACTCATATAGCCATTTTCGTGCATCTTTAGAAAATTGTGTAGCATCAGTATTGGGATCTTTTATTGCTTTATAAAGCAAATAAAATTTTTTCCACAAATTTCGAATTTGAGTTGCTCGAGAATATGTAAATAATTTAGTTAAATTAAAATATTGAAGTACAGTTAATTTATCTTGTCCCATTAATGAAGTATTTTGTCAGTAATTTGATTCAAGCCAGAAATGATATTTAACACCTATACGTTTCATTTCTTCAACAATTACATCTCTTGCTTTATTTCTTCAGGTATTTCTTGATTTAAGCTCATCAACTACTAATCGCCAAAGAACATCAGTAATACGTAATATTATATGTAGTTCGTCTGGAACCCAATTTTGTAAAGGAATCATATTAAAAAGTGCTGGCTTAATATGACCTTTATAAAATTTATAATTTGTACAAATTTGATCTATAGTTTTTTGCTAATTGACCATTCATATAAAAAATCACCTTGCTGTTCTTTAGAAATTTCACACCATGGGCAAAAATATCTACTATTTGCTGCATTCATTTCTAAACAAGTTGCAAGAAATTTCCAATTGGATGAAAAATAAAGTTCTATTTTTCATTTTATACCCTGATTATCATTTAATCCATCTTCCTTAAACTTTTTTAATTTGACAATTAAATGCTGTAGTGCAATATATAATGTTTCATATTTCTCATTGCTGGAATATAAAATTGTAGTATAACTTTTTGGCTGCTGTAATTTGTCTTTATTATTAAGAATTGAAAAAGTAAGCATTACATGCTTTATCTTTTTTCCAACATTTCTTCTGTTTTCAGATATTCTCAAATATATTATAGGATTTGTTATAATTAATATTTTTGCTTCAACAAGACTTAGTATAAGATATTTTAAAATATTAACAATACTTCGCCTTCCACCTATTCCAATTATTGATTGCATATTATTAATTATTTCTGTATCATTAATATGAATTTCTGAATTTATAGAATCATCTAATATTGGTGATGCTAAATTAATAGTTAAAATAGATATAGCTTTATTTATTTCATCAGTAATATCTTTTCTTTCTAATGATACTTTCCATTCACGTGGCAAATCATAGCTAATTGAAGCTAAAGTACGATATCCTTCATATGTAATTTGACTTTTATTACAGGCTTTAACAACTGCTCTTGCTTTATATTTATTGTCCTCATTACTCTTTTCATTAACATCAAAGTAGAAAGATTTATAATTAATATCAAATTCAATTGATTTTAATGTAGGTTCATCTTCCAGATGACAATTCTTATTTGCTATTTGATCAAATATTGTATGTATAGAGTTTGCAATTTTTTTAGCTCTATTATTTTGTCCAGTTGAAGTTAAATTACCAAATGATTTTAAAACTGTTGTTTGTCATTTATTATCTCTTATTTGCTGAAGTATTTCTAATTGAAGGCCAAATACTTGTGGACCTGAATAACGGTTTTTGTCTCTGGATCTAAAGCCTATTATAAAATAATATAAATTTAATAAATTTCTAACATTAAACTATTATTAAAATTATTAATTAGGATAATAAATTTTATTATACTTTAGAATACAGACTTGTCGCATCTGAACATGACTTTTTAGATTTTATATAAAATTGATACTTGTGCCTGTAATATATATAATAAACAGGGTTCTTGTCTATATATTCGATTATACACCTAACTAAATGGTTTGTATTAGACTTTTCCCAACTTGACTCAACTTCATAATTGTCAGGAATCTGAAATCCATTTTTGCGCTGTGTATATTTAAGATAAGTAGCGGGCGGATATTGACCTTCTTTAATAATATTATAAGTATAACTTCAGCCAGTTTCTGAATATTCGATAACAGATTTCCTAGAATAATTATGAATTTCTTTTCTTTTTTTAATTTGTTGACTCATTTGAAATAAAATAAAAATAATAAATTACTAATATCGATTATTTTTATAAATTGAATATTTATTTATTAAATTGATATATTATATGATTTCAGAATTCGAATTTAAAAATGATCCTCAAAAAAATTGAGGAACTTTTCCAATTAGCCAATATGCATTATACAAAAAACGGTTTGGAGGAAAAAAGTTGGGGGTAAAGACAAAAGAATTTTTAGAAATTTTTGTAGAGAAGCAAAAAGAGTTTTTGTTAATATTTTGGTCAATATTAGGCTAAAAGCCTCTATTGAGGGCTTGTTTTGACCAGATGGATGAGCTTAACAACTTATCTTAGTGCTATTAGATAAGTTGTAAAGACAGCTTTAGAGAAATAGTTAAAAGTTTGGATTCTAAAACCAAAAGAGGTTTTTGTAGCGTTATGCTATGAGTTTTTAAGATAAAGGCTTAAAATTTTTAAATTATATGTAAAATTAAGAGCTAAACAAGTTTACTTAAAATGTTAGGAGCAGTTATTTTAATAAAATATTGAGTTATTAAGGATTTTATACTAGTGAATTTTTAGTTAAATTTTGTGTAAGTGATTGATAGAAAGAGTTTTTTCCTCTAATTTTTTTATATCCTAAATATTTCTGAATTAAATTAAAAGAACCTAACTGCTATGGTCAAAACCAACACTAGTGGTCAGAGTTAACTATTAAACTATACAATTTCTGGTTCCATCTGCTTTTGTAGAGTTTGTCCAAACTCCAGTATTTATTTTACAGACTATCGCCAGTATTTAAATTTTGTCAATAACTCAAACTCTCAATCTAAATAGCTCAAAAGTGCTGTGGATTGCTCTTGGTCCTAATGATTAGATCTTTTTTCTCTAGTTACTCATCTGGTAGCCTGGTTTGTATAGTGTTATTACTAAACACTTGGTCTTCATTTAAATTACTAAAATCAGTATCTAGATCCTTTAGATAATCTATTATATAATATAGTTAAAGATCTATACTACCTCTCTACTTAGGACTTGCCAAGCAGGCTTTTGTATATCCAATTCCTAGATTTATATAGTGAGTAACTTGCGTATTATACAGCCTTCTAGTATAAGCTGATACAACTAAAATTACAGGTGTCAACTTATTAGATTACACACAGTATGCTATAACACATTTCTTAAATTCAAATTTTCATTACTGGCAGAATTTGAACTCTTGTTTTGTCACTTGAGTGTAACAACTTACCAACTTTACTAAGTTGCTACACATTTATTTAAATGCTTTAAAATATATTTTATTTATTTTTAGATAAATCTAAAAAATAAGATGAATTTTAATATATTTGATATTTTGAAATAATAATTAAAAGTTATTTGTATATAAAATTAATATGTTAATTTTATTCTCAAAGTATTAATTTGTTATTATAAGTTTAGTTATTATGAATGCAATATTTTAAAAAAATACAAAATTATTAAAAGTAAATGATTAATTTTATATATTTTAAAATATTTAATTATTATTATTTTTTTTTTTCCTTTATTGGCAGCCTCGCCGGTATCTTTATTAGATCAAATCTAATGTAAAGTTACATTATAAACTATCTAAGTTACAGATCTGACATCACTCGGCTTCCTCTATAGGCGCCCAAGTGTGGTCTGCCTCACTGGTTAAAGCTATTGTCTGTACTGGAGGGCTGCACCAAGCTAGCCAGTGAAACTATACTAAGATGGTTTCGATTTAAAGAAATTTTTAACTAAACTAAATTGGCAATTTTTCCCTTCTAACCTATCTTCCATTTTATTATGAACTAAACCTAATTTTCTATTAATAAACAGTTCTATCTTTTTCCTCAATAAGGGGTTACTGCCAGAAATCTCTTGTTTATATTTGTGTTTCCTTTTCCTCTTCTTCCAATTAAACCTGTCCTTTCCGATCAAGGACCCATTTCTTAAAGCCTTATGTTTCATAGCTTTGTGGTCTTTTCCTGCTTCTTGGGAGCTTTTTCTGTGATCTTTCTCTGTCGATACTCTTCTGTAGGCTTTCTTTTCTTCAAAAAATCTTGGGCCTTCTTATGGTCTTTCCATTCTATAGTCTTGTATCATCCACTCAGATTTAGTTTCTTCTATGTTCTGAGTACAGAGGTCTTCTCTTTTCCTTTTTTTTACCTTTTTCTTTTTCTTTTTCTTCCTAGGCTTTGGTTTTGTTCCCAAAAATTTTTCTTGAATTTCAACAAAGATTCTCTGATTCTTGAGGATTTCTACAAAGATCTTTTCTAGTATTTCCAATAATATATCTTTTTTCTTCTTTTTCCAATTTTTGGTACCTTTTCGTCTATAGGCTATTGTATCTTGAAGCGAATTCGAATCCATGCTTCTTTGGTCTTTCAGGCATCTTAGATTCCAATAGGATTTCACACTATGTATCCATTTTGCAAGCAACTCTTTCTTTTTCTTTTT